TCATTTCGACGAGGATGCTTAATCCCTCGGGAGAGGTACTACTGCTCGCCCTGGGCACGGGTCCCTTCGTTCTTGCACTCCTGGAACTTCGCTGTTTTGGATATCTTGGACAATTATATTTTGGACAATTTGAAAACGCAGATTTTCTACGCAGCTGCGACATAGGGAATTCTATAGCTATATACCGGATCCGTGGCGTCTAGGGCGCGCCAAGCACAGCAAGAAATACATCATACATATATATCGTTCATCCATCCGCTGCTCGCTGTCCACGCCTCGCCTATCTATATCCACAACAACCACCAGCCGAGCTGACTATCACGGGCACGACGAGGCACCCAGCTATATCACCATCCTCGTCGACAACGGCGGCCGCCGGCGCACGACCTACATAACGGCACACCCACGGGCGGGCTCGGCAGCGGGCGGCGGCGGCGCGTTGCCCTTCTCTATTTCCGCCAGACAAAGCTCGAAGACTCTGCCTGCAAGCGTGCGCATGGTGGAGGGTGAATATGCGTGTTGGAACGCGGATGCTCAGAAGGAAAGGAAGGGAGGGAGGGAAGGAAGGATGCGGAAGGGCGACTCACCGACGTTCTCGTTCCGCAGCGCGCTCGCTTCGATCCAGGCGGTCTTGTTCTGCGCCGCCAGTCGCTGGCCATCCGTTGCGTCTACTTGGCGGCTGTGGGGGGTTGTGGATCCGTCAACAATTAGTTCTGATCAACTTATACTGAGAAGCACCGCACCTGAGGTTCAAGTCAGCCTTGGACCCGACGATGATGGCTGCAATCTCAGAGAGCCCCGAATAATTCAAGATCTTGTCGTAGATGACTTGAATCATGTTGAAGCTGTTCCGCGAGGCGATCGAGTAGACCAATACGTAGCCGTGTATTCCAATAGCATGCTGTGAATTGAGTTGCGAGAACTCGTCCTGAGGACCGCTTGAGTTCGAGGGCGCGAAACATGGAGTGAGAGGCACAGACCTGCCCCGCAGTGTCTATGATCTCGCACGGGTACTCGACTCCGTTATATGTGATGGTTTTGGTGAACGTCGCATCCGTGGTGGGGTAGTACGACTCGGGGAAATCGTTCTCTATGAACTGCTTCACCAGGGACGACTTGCCTGTATCGCATGCACACCCTCAGCACCATAGCACCCTGTGAGAACGAGGAGGCGAAGTAAATCCGCTTACCGACCGAGCGCGACCCAAGGATGACGATCTTGCGGGTGTTGAGAGTGACCGCTCGAGCCATCTAGAGCTTGGTGGTCAGCGGGGGTTACTAGGAGTGAGGAGGGTGTCGCAGCGAGCCCTGGGGCTCGGAGTCGATGGAGGTAGGAAGGAAAGCGGCCAAAGCTCGGCATCACATATACGGCAGACCGAAGTCTCGATCGTGTTCCAACTGACATCCACAGCAAATCCCGTCGCGTACATAATAATGATCCTCGTTCCCTGCAAAATTAATTCCCGATTCCCGTTCATCCAGGACCAACACAGCACAGCTACCTTTACTTCCGTGAGGTGAGATAAAATACACAAGACTCGTACGTTAGTTTAAATACTGTCCGAAGCAGACAAGATGTAGGTATGAATAGCACACGACATCACCCATGGAACTCGAAGCAGTTACTGCACATGCCTTTGGGCTTGAACGGATTCTGCTTAAAGTCCGTGCACCCACTTACACTCGGCCCGGGCGGCGCCGTCGTCAGCTCCGTCGCGCTCTCGAACGGCGAGCGGTCGTACCGTCCCGTCCCGGTGCTGTGCCCGCTCTCAGATGAGGAGGCAGTCGAGAGGTACCCGCCTGCGCGCGGAATGGAGCCGGAATGGTTCGAGGTCGCACCGCGCGATGGCGGGCGGCGATCAGGGATCATCGGGCTCGCATTTGGTGTGCCGTTCGTCGCGCGCCGCGGCGGTGGAGGCGGGGGCGCTTTCTTCAGCTCGCTCGTCGTCGAGCGCCGCGCGATGGGTGGCGTCGCAGACGTAGCGTGACCAAATGGCACAGAGGAATGCATCAGATTCCGCTCGTCGTCGTCGTCCGCGACGCTGCTGATAATGCTCGCCGTGTCCGACGGACCGCCGTAGAAGGGGCTGTTCGTCGTCGGCGACAGGATCGCAAGCGGTCGCCCGTACATATCCTCGTCGTCGTCATTATCAATGTCCCGTGAATCGTCGCTGTCCATCTCGAGCCCGAGGTGATTACCGTCGCGACCGGCGCGTTCGGGCAGCGGTGGGCGGTCGGGAAGGACTTCGGTGTACGGCGTGGGGAACAGCCCTTGCTTCCCATTGAGCTCCCCCATCCACCACCCGTCCAGCACCTCATTCACCACAACGATCTGGTCCCCAGTCTTGAAAGCCAGCTCATCCGACGAGCCAGAGAAGTCGTACAGCGCCCGCACGACCTTGCGCGGCACCTGCGACGGCGGCTTCAAGATGCGCGTTGGCAGTTTCGGCGTCGTCTGCCCGACCTTGCTCTTCGAGCTGCGGCGCGTGATGGACGAGAGGCTGCCGGATAGCACGCCCCCGCCGCCCGAGTGGTCCGAGTCACCGGGTCCCGAGTCGCGGTCACCATCGTCGGTGAGAGTCGCGAATGCGTCCTTGTCGCGGTTCTTCTTCCCGCGGCCGGTGACGCTGCCGACGGCGGAGGAGGCCCAACCGGCGACGCTCATGCTGGGTCGTGATTTGTGCTTGTCCCCGCCCGCGGTGCCGGTGCTGTCGGACCGCTTGCGGGACGCGCGCGAGCTGGGCCGCGAAGGTGGGCGACTGGATGGCCGCGACGAAGCGCCTTCGTCCTCGGAGGACTCGGGCGTGCGATGCGATTCGCGGGCTGCTGGCGCAGATTTCTTCGAGCGCACGGAGCCGGTCTTGCTCGCGGAGAAAGATGGCTTCCGAGTTGCTGTATGTGAGCTGGGACTGGTCAACGTCAGGGTATATATTAGAAGAGCAGATGCTCACTCGCTGGGCCAGTTCGCGCGGGTGTCTTTCAGTACGTCGAGGTACTGCTCGACAAAGTTGAGCTCGAGCGTAAGAAACCCGGTGAGTTCGCGCAGTTGCACGATCTCATTCTCCTGGATCGCATGCATGTGCGCCTCGACCTCTTCCTCGGTCTCTTCGCTGGCGCGGCGTTAGTTAGGGGCAACGGTAGAAGTACGCATAGCGGACATACTAGCGAGCCTTTGCGCGGTGCATCTCCTCCTCCGCCTCCTTGCGCTCCTTGTCCTTCTTGCTGCTCTTGAGCTTCTCATATTTCGCGTTTGCAGCGTCTAGACTTAATCTGCCGGCGGCTATTAGAGTAGGATTCGGAAAACAGACAAAGGGGCTCACCGTCTGCTTTCTAGCTTCTTGCGGAGTGCCTCGTAGTCCTTGATGTCTTCGGAGAAGCGAACAAGCGACGCCATGAAGCTGTCACTGAAGGATTGGGCAAACGCCTCCTGGAGCTTCGCGACCTTGCAGTGGGCGCGACCCAGCGTAACCAGCGAATTCCCTGACCAAGGTTAAGATTATTTCGCCCGAAAATGTAGCTGAAGGAGGGATACCAAATGGCGAGTCCTGGCCAAACTCCTCGCCGTGGATAATCATGACGATTCCTAGGGTGTCGACGGGGAGGAGCTTCTCCGCGTCATCGAGTGCGCCGTTGTCCTTCTTCTTTGCGAGGTTCTTGTGGTATGCCTCGGACGCCAGGAACAGTCTGCCAACGGCGTAAGATACCTGTTTATTGCATGTCACGCCAACGCACCTCTGTGCGCCGTCCCTTCGCAGCTCCACGTCCTTCTCGAGCTCCTTGAACTCATCCGACACTGTAGTCCGCTCCTGCGATGAGATGACCTCGCTGGCCCACTACAGAAAATGGCAACGAAAAGTGGTCCGATTAGTTTGCTATCTCGAGGTCCGGTGCGCCACAGACTGACTTGACGCAGTTTCCCAAGCTAGGGTAGGGCGGATATGAGCATGGCCTGTCATTTTTCTGAGCTGCGTCCTGACCTGTTTTCCAGCCATTTCAGTGGGAGCTTGTACGGTGCGGGGAGGAGACAGGGACTGACATCAAAACATCACTCAAATTCACTTCCATATCCGGCACTGTCGCTTGACCAGCAACCACCATGTCCCGGTTCAACCGAGGTTCACCCTCAAAAGCCGCTCTTTGTACATCGTTATTGGACCACAATTTCTTTCCCTCGTTAAGAATACCGCTCATGGGGCTCACCACTACTGGCAGAACATTACAAAAGGGTCTTTCGTGTCGGCGTTATCTCGGCGCTCTTTCTGAATCCCTCAGTCGCCATAAACCGGGAGATGAAACAAGTTCAGCGCTCTATGCGTAGCGTCCCTTGCGGTGCCAGCAACTACGGATATCGCTCAACTGTCGTTGGTCAACTTGCAACCGGTTATCGGACCCCCGACGACGTCCGACGGATACGGCCAAGATACGGCCGCCCGAGCGCAACCGTGTCAAGAGAAAAAGCTGGAGAAAGGACCGCCGCCTCGGGAAGCCGCTGAAAAAGTATCGTTCAACGACTTGTCAGCGACTCAGAATTGGGTTGAGAATCAATCCGGGCACGTATCTTCCAAGCTCTCTGTGGACTCCCGGACGGCTCTTTCTTCATTCGCCAATGATGTCTCTTCATTCCGGCAATCCATTCAGTCTACCATTCAGTCTCCCGCACGCTTTTCGTGCCGTCCGGCGATCCGACGCTCGCGTTCTCCGGCCTCCAATCTGACCTAACGCTTATGAGTCAATATTTTATATCCAAGACTTTGGGACACTTGTGGTCAGCGACTCTCAGCAATATGAAGGAGCCGACCCGGGCCTTGGCTGGTTCCGCGACGTTCTGAGCTATCTCTACCCATGTGGGCGCTCACAGACACGGGGGTAAAAGAACTCAACGACAACCGGGAGACACAGTATCGCATAGGGAGAAATGCTTTGCACCTGTGCCTCCACGCGGGCGCGGAGCTACGGCTCGGAGGCCCGGCTCTGAAGGGGTGATTGTCGTGTCGTTGTTGTGCCACCCGAAGGAATTGAACCTCCGACATACTGCACCCGTCAATTCGAGGACGCAGCAAGTGTAACCACTGCACCAGAGTGGAGTCGATAATCGACAATGAATCTGCAATATCCTTGGGAATTCCACGAAAGAAGGTTCAATAACTCAGGACGAATTCACCAGTTTCATTATTGCTCTTTCTGTGCTCGTCGTCGATTCTTCGAACGACGAACTTTGGAACTCAGCTGGGGAATGCGAGGCAGGGGGCAAGGTACGTAAAGCATGTAGAACTGGAGCCCAACCATCGCGGGTGTCCCCTTCCGCATGCACGAGATATTTTACTGTATGCACCGACAGCCGGTGGCCCGGGAAGGCCGAAAGGACCAGCGCGGTCTCTTGCAAGTGATAAGCGGCAGCGGCAGCAGACAGCTTGTGCTCTCATCGACCTCTCGCACGCTGGAATTGCAGACTTTATTGTTAGCCGCCTCGCCGTCGACGTGGGCGACCCAATCCAAACTTGTTGGCGCGGTAGAAAAAGAGTTGACGATTATTAAATTGATATTCAGTGAATTGCGATGTTCAATGGGCATCCAGGTCAGGATCACGCTCCCAAGTCCACGTACGAATCCACTCGTCTAGATAGAAATCAAGACCCAAGTTGTTGATTGCAGCGCATTACACAAACTCAAACTCACCCAGCTGGCCCCTATGGGCGTCCTGCCACGCCTTGAATTCTTTTTTGATGTCCGCAGTGGCCGCATCGACGACCGCCGCGTACTCCTTGACCTCCTCGGCCCAGTTCGGTGAATTAAACGCCTGTGGAGACTGGGGGATTAGAATCGAACTGCCAGTCTGTTACAAGCGACTGGAATTTAGCGGCACCTCGGAGCCGTAAAGATGATGGGGTACTGTGGGGTGGGCTTTGATAAGCTTATCCTGAATGCGGGGAGGGGTCAGGGCAGGTTTGAGGGCGGGCCCGAGCGGACTCGGAGGCGTATGTACCTGCCATGCCGCATACTCAATCTTCATCACAGACATTTCATCATCGCTATAGGGCGTAGCAGATCGAGTAGTACCCTTCGAGCCAGATGAGCCAGAGGCGGCCGATGGGGAGCGTGTTGAGCTCATTGTGGCGGGAGGAGAAGTGAAGATAGGATCAACAACGAACGACAAACACGACTTTCCCTCGACTCGCGCTCGTGGTTTGCCTTGCTCTGATTTTGCCGCTCGCAATTTGGATTTCTCGGCGCTCTCTCCAGAGCTCAACCATCTGAACACGAAGAACTCACCCGACACATAGCATATGGTCCGACGGCCTCTAATCACAGCTTCTACAGTAACAACCCGGGCCCTCCATATAAAGAACCTCTGCAGCCCTGGGGAGAGAATGCCTTTACTCATCGCCGCTTGAAGGAGGAAACTGTTCCACACATTATCCGCTCATTGTCATCGGCGCCCAATTTCGGAATCATTTTTGCGAAAGTGTCTTGGGTTCGTACCTGCTGCTGTTCGAAATCACCTCACTCTATGCCGGACAATCTATCGAGGTGAGCCGCCGCATTTTCGTTCTCCGGCACTGTGGCTAAAGCTTCGACAAAAGAAAAGAATACACAGTATCGCAAAGGGGGAAATGCTATTGCTAGCACCTGTGACGCGGACGCGGAGCGTTTGCTCGGGGCCCGGCTCCGAATGGTTGTGCCAACCAGAGGAATCGAACCTCCGACATCCTGCGTTCGTTATTTTTTAACGATGCACGGAGTTTAACCACTGAACTAGGGTGGACGACAAGACCAGGAGGCCTCTTTTTGCCCAGTGGTTCATTGTGACCAGAGGAACAACCCATTCTCAAATACCCACCCTAAGTCAACCGAGCAGTCCCAGAGATTTTTTATGCCCGGTGGACACCGTAGAACACCATTAACATTCGAACTCGCAGCAGGCACTCCTTATGGGGCGGGGGACGTTGGTACGTAAAGCGTGGATCCTGCGCGGATCCGTCAATGGAAAGCCGTCAGTGGCAGTGCGCACCATCAATCCCGACCCTTTGGGCTTTTACTTGAACCACCACACACCAACCTCGCCATAACACCTTTCGATGCCTGCCGCCAAACTCGCTCCCGCTAAATCCCTCGCCGCTGTCGTCGCCTTTGCCAACAGTCCCGCATACCATCCCCCGTCAACGATGCCGTGGTTAGATACCTCCCTCTGGACGGAAACGGCGTCAATCTCGCCGCAGGGGGCAGCGGCTCGCAAAGCTCGGCGTGCTGAATACGAGATTAGCGGTAAATTCGGATTCGAGAACGCCATCGTGCAGATGCTGTCACGGTCGAGTGCGCTGAGGGGGAAACTCGTCGGACACGCGGTGGTAAGTAGTGCCCCGTTGGGAAGGAATCTCACTGACGCGCGGGTTGCTGGTACAGACGCTGATAAAGGCTGTCGGGTCGGAGAAGTCTCTCCAAGCAATTCTCGCCAAGGTCAACCCCAAAATACTCGCCGAGAACGCGCTGGCCGTTTCGGGCTTGCACCAATTCATTGGCGCATATCTCGTGCAGGTGGACGGTGATACTCGCGAGCTCATGGCGTGGATGGAGCCGATTTTTGAGCCTGTTTTGCGTGTTGCGGCGTCGGCATGTCCGGACCCGACCCAGTATGTCCCATCGCCCGCGTCGAGCCACCGCTGAGATGATCACTCTTTAGGTCTTGCAAGAAGTCCAAAGTAGGTTCGGAAAGCAACCGAAAGATTCGGATCGCGGGTGGTGCGTCCCATGAACTCAACGGTGTTTGTGGCCGGGCTTCATCTTCATCCACAGCACATCGGTTCTTGCTCAATACTTGGGACATTCAGACAGCGGCCGAGGCGAAGTGTAGCTCTCCGATTGTAAGCATGTGTTGGCATGATAGCCTATCTAATCTTACGGCCCAATTTCCAGAGCCCCGATTCCCAAGCCACTTCTGAAGACGGTGCGGAAGATGCCGGCGTCGACGCGGTCCCTCTTACGGTGTGTCCCTCTGCCTCGCTGTCCTGGACACGGCTCATCGGAGGTTACTTCCCAGGACGACATTTTTACCGTGCGCTGGCCTTCCTTGCGAGTTCCCACCCTCACAACTCATCTCGCCTCGATAGGTCCCCGAAGGATCCCCAATGAAATTCGCAGACTCGCCTGACTTGCCGAACGACTGCGAATCCATGTTTTCTGGGGATCTCCACGGCTTCGTCAGTCCTTCCCCCTTGTTGTTGCGGTGAGTATGCTCTAACCGATTCCAGTTTCCTTCGCCCGTCAATCGCAGCCGCCCGGGTGCATTAGACCCCACAATATGGAGACGATCGGCGCTGGTGAACGGGGATCGTATGTTGGGATCGATGTTCATGGTATGTTGAAGTATTAGTGGATTTTACTCGTCCTTGTCCTCACGTAAATCCCAGGGCGAGGAAACGCCGCAGCACTACAGTCTAGACACACCGGTATGTTTGCAATCTTTTAAGTTTCACGTTCGTTTAATCGGAGCTCAGATGCCTGGGATTTCACCGCCGTCCCCAAAAACAGGCTCAGTCGCCGGGATTAACGGGTTCCAGTCACCGGCGGTGCGTAATTAGTGTTCTCATTGACCAGGGCTATTCCTGAACCTGTTTATTTAGGGCACCGACGCGCTCAACGATTTTTCGGATGGTGGTTTCGGGTCCGAGTTTTTGCAGACACCGTTCAAGGTATGCTTTGTTCGTTGAGTACTCCCTCCGCTCGACTCAACCAGAATAGTACGATGAGTCGAAGGGTCGCCGCCTCATGCGAGCCGATTCTGAAGTGAGTTGTTTTTTATTCTTGCACGTTGTTCGGTTTCTCAACCCTCGCTATGTATCAGAACTCACCGACTGGGAGCCTGTCGACGGTTTCGGCGACCAAGGGTCGTTCTCCTTTCGGCCCCGTAAATGGATGGTCGCCTGGGTTCCAGTTGTAAAGCGGCCATGTACACCATTTCCAGAAGACCCGGCACGTTATATCTTTATCTTTGATATCTGTCTCATTACAATGTAACAACTTATACGGTGTTGGCAATTGTTCTTAGTGTTTCCTCGGACTCCCAAAAATGACGTGCGGCAAAGACAATTCCACTGGGGCGCTAATTCAAGCGTCCCATTCGAAAAAAAGCTAAAGAACTTTTCAACATCCCCGAGATGTCCGATACGTCCATCTACTCAAGTTGAAAAAAGGTTAAAGTGACCGTGATTACAAAACGGGACCACGGTAGCATTGCTGCAGAGGAAAACTTAGTGGTTGCAGCAGTTCGGTGATGGTACGCGAAGTCAAGACTTAAAAGGGCATTCGCGCCGCGCCTCGCCGCGCAGAGATGCGGGTCTATTTGGGTCTTGATTGACGGATCCACGCTTTACGTATCATTGACCTTCCCCCGCCCCATCGGGAGTGCCTCTTCCGAGTTCGAATCTGTTCGAATGTTACATCGTCCTACGTTGTCCGCTGGTCGTAAAAAAATCGGTATGGTTGCTCGGTTGACTTATGGTGGGTATTTGAGAAAGGGGTGCTCCTCTAGTCGCAAAATATACCACTGGGCAAAAATAGGCGTCTCAATCCTGTCGTCCACCCTAGTCCAGTGGTTAAACTCCGTGCATCGTTAAATTGACGAACGCAGGATGTCGGAGGTTCGATTCCTCTGGTTGGCACAACCATTCGGAACCGGGCCCCGAGCACAAGCTCCGCGTTCGCGTCACAGGTGCTAGCAATAGCATGTCCCCCTATGCGATACTGTGGATTATTTTCTTTTTGTGCGCTTTGGCCCGCGTACTCATAAGTATCCAAGCAGAGTATGGCCATCACTGCATCCGGGCTGTAACGCAAGAAAAATCATATACTGGTACTACACATTACGATTCAACTCCCCGATAAAACCAAGATTGAGTTAGATACATATAATTTAAAGCAGCCACAGACATGTTGCGCTCAGGAAACCAGTCAAGAGCGCAGCGCCATGAGTCATCCGAGTCGTTGCACCATTCACCTCCGCCGCCGAGACAGGCGAGCTCGCGGCCGTTGCCGCCGCTGCAGCAGCCTGCCCTCGTATAAAGGTCCCCCACGCCGCGATAGTCGCAGCGGGGTACACGAACGTCGACGCCTCCGCCCCGGCCTCAAAGACGATGCCGTCGGACCCAGGGAGGACATTGCCGACAAGCGGGGCGTGTTCGCCGCCCACGACGCTCGTCGTCCCGGCAGGCGTCTTGATGAGCGAGCCGGTCAGGTTGGAACCAAACACAAATTCGCGCACGAAGGTCAGCGCCTGGACGGGCTCGTCTTAGTGGGGTTATTGCGGGAGTAGAAGAACAAGAGGCGTACTGCTGCAGGTGCTTTCTGGGGTATCAAGTGGCCGGCACCGCTGAAGAGAGCGTACGTCCACCCGCGCTCCTGGTGGACAATCCCTGCGGGCTTGCCAGTGTCGTCATTCCAAGACGTGGACGGCTGGCGGGTGAAGCCCTGGATGCCGCCGAAGGTCGTGTTCTAGCAAGTAGTATGGTTAGTCCGCGTTCATACTGGCTGAAAGTGGACCCACTTGAATCGTGACTGGAGCAAGACGTGAGTAATTTTCTTCCGAAAACTCAAGCAAGGTACACACCTTCTGTCCCCCGATGGGCGATCAGAGCGTCGTCGTTGCCGGAGTACAATACGACTCCGACGCCGTGGGCCGTTGCGTTCGTAGCAAATTCAGTCAAGAAGTTCATGGGGCTGTTTCGAGCAGATGAGAAGAGGTTCGGGATCAAGAACAACGTAAACTTACACTTGGCCTGCGGAACGACTCGCTCAATTCAGTTCGCCTATAAGCTTACTTGCAGACTTACTTGGATCATCATCTGACACACGTGCATCGTAAGAGAAAAGCGGGAGGTCGAGAGCAGTGCAACGAACCTAGTTCACCAAAAACAAAGTCGAAACTTTGCGCCCAAGCCTTGCTCGTAGGTGCGTGCAGAGCAGCCACCGTTCGTGGGTCTATCAGGGAGTCAATATGAAGAACGTCTCATTGTCCGAGAGGCACCAACCAGTTAAAAACGTTGGACCAAGGCTCGGTGAGCCGTCCGGATCCGTGATGTCATAAACCTGTCCAAGCGTCAAAATTCGCACGGTTGAAAAAAAAGTCGCAGCAACAACGCACGTTAAAGTCTCCGTCGGTGAGATTCCAAGGAGCGGAGTAGTTGAGGGCATAGTCGATGAATTCTGGGAGAAGCGCGCAGCCGTACTGCAAATAATGTAATCAGAACGACTTGGAGCGCAACTTGGAACAGGGTGCTACTCACCCAGGGATCGAGGGTCCCCTTAGCACGGAGACTCAAATCGCGCTTCCAGGTCCCCCGCTGGCGCTGCCGTGAACGGTGATCGCGCTCAGCGAGGTCCATCTCGGCGTACCGGCGGTTAACCTCAGCGACGAGCCCGCGTTTCGAATTTAGCGTCTTGTCGAGGAAGGGCACGTCGCGGTCGGCGGCGTCGGTGAAAGTAACCGTCGGGATGATTCCGTTCTGCGGGTATGTGAGGTTGATGTCATAGCCGCAAAGGTGCTCTCTGCGGTGGTAAATTAGTCAGTCGCGCGGTTTGGGAGCAATGAGGCAGGGGCGTACTGTTCTTTGAAGTAGGCGTAGACTTCTTGATCGTACCCGATGAGCTGAGGATATGTTTCCAGGACGCTCAACTGAGGACGGGTTAGTTCGGCCGGTGGAAAATGCTCAGAGGCTCACTGTTGGGAGAAGCTCGAAGACCTCGTCCGAGGCGATGGATCCATCTCCGATG